CTTCCTACAGTCTTCTCCTGGTTCTCTGTCAATCGATCGCCATAATTAACACCCTACACCAGTAAGGGAGGCAAGTATATCTCTTGGATAGAGACTATTCACCTGGATAGCCTCATTCCGTGATGAAGATGTTCTGAGAGACATATAGATATTGGAAGTGACATTAGCTAACAACTTCAGCTGTTGATTGAAGAGGAAGAACCTTATTCTTTTGTATGTGCTTAATATTATTCATATAAACTATTCATACAGCCAACCGGTTACTGGACTAGATAATCACATCTAATATTTAATATTTGTGTAGTGAGCATGTCAGTGTGGGGTTTCCGGTTCAGTAAAGATGGCTAACAGTAAAACACGTGTCTGTGTCATTCTATTTCATTCTGCAGAAATACTTGACAATTAACCTTGGTCAGAACAGTACAATATCGGGTTTTGACATATAGTTCATTATTGTTTAAATATTCTTCTTATTTCCAATTTAGTAAATAAACCATGAATTGCCATCTTTTCCCGCTGCAATTACCTTCCCAATTTGTACAAACTGTGTAGGCCTACGACAAATTTTTGGAGAGGCGTATCTTTGAAGTTTGAAGTCTAAAAGATGCTATATTTTGTAATTAAAATATGATTGACCAGACAATTTGAGAGGTCTGCATATTCATTGTTAAAGCGAAATCAAAGGAAACACCAAGGTTTGGCACTAAGAGCTACTGTACATACACCACACTACAGTCTGTCCGCGTGCACACTGGCTGAAGCGACGGCCATTTTCGCACTACTTTCAGCAAAATCGAGTAAAAATGGACGACTTTTGAGCTCTTCGTAATTTCATGTGTATTTTTGTCAACAGTTGGTGTCATTAAACGAAAGATACATAAAAAGAAGTGGGAATATCTAAGGATTGGGAATTTTAAGGTTAGTTGTCATAAAAAATAGATTCAGAACGGTAAAATGGAAGATTTATCCACACGGGTGGTCTGCGGACAGACTGCTACCTCCAATTCTGAGACTGATATCCTAGGGTTACTTTTGATTGTGTGGCTGAATAAAGGCCAGGAACTCGGTTTTATCAACATTGAACATTAACTTTTTCTTAATAATCCATTACTAAGGTCTTGATACAAGTCTTCATTCATTTCATGGCAGCTTCAGGGTGCTTCATGTTACACAGTTCGAGTGTCGTCGTCATATCGTGTGGTTTGTGTTATGTTGAGCTGAGTTATACTTTGATAATTGCGAGCTTTTTCTTCTTGGCGATCTACATTAGAGTTCCACTGAAGCCTCAATTCCTTGATGAAGACGTGAGTAAAACTTAACCTTATCGACAAAAACAAGGCCAAAGCAATTTTCCAAAATTTTTCCTTTGCATCCTCTGCTTGTCAACTGCACGTTTCATAGCCTCTATGATTATGTCCTTGGTAATTCCTCTGAGGAAGAGAAAAGAGAATTGGTTGGATTTTCGACTATTGTTACACCATTTATCACCCCTTAATGAAACCCTTGCAGAGCGTAACTTCACTCTGCATGCCCTCTACAAAGATGCTAGTAACGTTTACATTTAATAATAATAACGATGATGTTTACAATATATATAAAGCTAAATCTTGGAAACCCTAACCCTAAAGACCATATATATATAAACCGCTGAAACTCTAAGCTGAAGGCCATACATATACACCCAATATTTGCTGTTAAACGCATCATACTGCTTAACACATTCAGGCTAAAAGGGCGTAACATGTTTAGGAGAAAAACGTGCTTAGGAGCTGAACGCGTTGAAAAAAATGAGACAAAACAGGCGCTAAGAAATGGTTTTAGGGGCTAAACGCTGTTTTTACAGTGTACGTTATAATTTTTGAATAAAAAAACTTAAAAAAAAAAAAAAAACATTTCAGGTCGTTTTCATGCAAGAATGTTGTCTTACATCTAGGGTTGATACGATGTTGTTATCTGACGTTGATACAACGTTGTTATTTTACGTTGATCCAATTTTCAAATTCAATCTTAATACAACGCCTTGTCAACGTTGAAACAATGATTTACGTGCCGGGAATTAGCATCAGAATGTGTACTTATAAAGTCGTGTGTCCGTAGATGATAAAACTCCGATCACAATAATCTTTGAGAGACCCCTTCTATAAAACAAAATTACCTAAAATATGGTCATTCTCAGTATTAAAACGTGTGAGACGTGGTGAGTTGACACAAATATGATCAGATGATTATATTGGTTCTTGCGTATGGATCGCCTTAAAATAATGCAAAGTACTTTATTATCAACCCTCTGCTTCACAGCCAGTGTAATCCTTTCAGAATGGGAGTGATATGGTGTGTACTATTGCACTTTATTTGACAAACCAGTCTTGCAGCTGAGTTTTAAATACCTTGTAATTTTAAATCTGATGATCACATATACCAAAGAGGAGACTATTGCAGTAATCTAATCTTGATGATATAAATGCATGTACCAATTTTTCATTTGTTTTGTTATTTAACACTTTCCTCTTTTCAATGCGCCATAGTGCATAAGATGCTGTTTTACACACTTCAGATACACGCTTCCCCATAGTGCCATTTTCATCGAGGGTAACTCCCAGATCTTTTACAGAACTAGATGATTTTATGAGAACATCTCCTATAAAAATGTTGCAGTTTGCTGCATTTTTCCTATTTGCCTTGAACCTTAAGGTAAACCAAATCAACTCAACCTTACTATCATTAAAGCCAACATGTTCACTTTCATCCATTCTCGAATCTCTGCAAGACAAGCCTCCATACAAGTGATTGTTGCAGACTGGCTGCTCTTGCAAACAATATACATGTAGACTTGTGTGCCATCTGCAAAAATGACAGTGTTCAGAGGGGACAAGGTAACGCTTACTAAATCGTATATTGATGTTAGGCTGTTTATATGAAATGTGCCTTTTTCTCTATTTTGATACAGATATTATTTTTCTAGTCAAATGATGGAGAGTTAATGTGATAGAAACATTAAGTTAAAACACTCGTATTTGTAACCCGTGACAAAAGGTTGGTTCTGCCATTTTGATACCACCGGTGCAAAACAAATTAAACCATGCTGTTGGGTAGCGAAATTATTGTTAAATTTCAATTTAATTTTTTTTATTAATATGAAAATATCACTAATATGAGAACTAAACAGTACATATACAGAGAGGGCAATTTAAGCATAATAAAAGGACCACCGTCTGGTATTTGGTCATCGTATTTATTTTTCAGGATGACCATGCAAGAAACAGCCGATACATTTCTTTTTATTGTACCGATATAAAATCTAATTTAATATAGCTTTACAAAAGTACTTTTCAGGTTTACCGTCACAACTAATAACAATGTTTAGCGTTCTGAAATTACATTCTCTCTTTCCCTCTAAACAAAAAAAAAACGCATTTATTTCGCCTATGAACTAGCACCCGATGAAAAAAAAAATCACTTTTATGTATGTGTCATCCTGGGTCCCGTAACTCGAAAGCATCGAGCATTGCGAAAGCGATATCACCTTTCATTTCGAGACCATTATAGTGCTCGATGCTTTCGAGTTACGGGGTTCTGATCAGCAGTAAGCTGGCTGAATGTGATGACGTTAGCTTTTATAATGCCACTCCAGCTAACAGGTAACATCATCCCACGATAAAGCTCTGAGATGAAGACCGAAATTATGTTGATCTTGTTCTTTTTGGCTGTTGCAGCAGCTGACATAGGGTATGTGTACGTTAAATATCTAATCCGTAGTTACCCTTAACGTTATATGTAGATTTTTCTTGGTTGTTTATTTAGTCAATTCAGAGTTGTTACTAAGATCCATTGTCGTAACTCTCCAAGCTCGGCTGAATTGGTGATATACCTCCTTTATTACTTCACTGATCAGTGTGTACCGTCTGGAGACGAAAAGATGACCACAAGAAGCAGGCTAGTGGTTTTCAACCGTAGTATTTATTTATTAACGTGACATATGAATATATAGGCACATAAATCACCCGTTCTAATGGACATAGGTATTTTACAGTATAAACGGAATAATGGTAAGATTTACACGCAGATGTGAGAGGCAACAAGAGGCAAAATGTATAAACGTACGACATTCGTTTTTTTGCTCAACGTTTAATTGGAGCTACAACCAAGAAACTGGTAGCAGACCGATGAACATACATGTTATTTGTAGATATGCACGTGCACTCTTGCTAAATAGTGTGGATGCTCGAGATTTAGTGTTTGCTCATATGTTTATTTAATTATTTTCATCGGTATTTGGAAGGTCAAACGTATATACAACTCATTCCGTAACACTACCTTATTGTCTAAATGGCACCAGATAGAGTGGTCGGCGTCCTTTCTGTGTCCTTTGCGCGACCATGAAACTGGCATCTCTGAGATCGTAGAAAGGAGGCACAAGCATCGCTTCTGTTGCAGAATGAATGCTCAACGATCGGGCAGTTGTTGGCACGTAAAGTATTATTTTTTTACTCTCAAACGGGGCCGTACTTCGGGACCCAGAGAGGATGCCGCCCAGTGTTAAAGGCTTTATGTTATTTACCAAGCACTGCGGTAGAAATATTGAAACGTGGTGGCAATAAAAATCTGTTGACAAATGCAGGCTATATACCGCCTTTTACGAGACCTTAGTTACATTTTGAATGCCAAATGATATCAGTTGTTGCTAATACTGTTACAAGATGGCGAACACACTGAATTAAACTGAGAAGGTGGAATCCATAGGGAGACGGAAGCTCGGGAAAGGAGTTCGATTTTCGATAGGTGATCTTTCATATTTTCATACTCGTGTGTGTGTGGGTGTGTGTGCGTGTGTGTATGTGCGTGTGTGTGTTTGTGTGTGTGTAATGAATGGGATTTAGTAGAATTATTGTCTTATACTGTTACCAACATTACAAACATTACATTATAAAATATTTACTTCCCTGTTTCAGACACGCCGGTGATTATGGCGAAAATGTAATCCTCAATGTTGTAAAACGCGCGATAGACAACCAGAGGATGAAAAGGGGATCTTCTGGCGGTTTTAGATGTCCACCACGCTGTGGTAAAATGTGAGTAGTGATTGCTCGTATAGATCTAGGAGCCAACAAACGTTTGGTCGATCGCAGAACAGAGACACGCTTCACATATAGAGTTCAAGACTAGATCTGTATTGGCCGGGGTTTGAATTGAACACCCAATAGTTTTCTTCATAGGCATTCATTCATTCAAACATCATTTATTCTTTATTTTGAAACTATATTATACATTGAATACATTATAGAATTATACCATTATTATTATTATATTATATGAGAAACTCAGTATATATATATATATATATATATATATATATATATATATATATATATATCTGTAGTGTTGTAGGATATATCGATGTGTTGAGTGGGAAATTGTACCGTAAAACCGGGAGGAAACCGTGGTAAAATAGGAAATCGTGTGGAAATTGATGATGCTCATAATCGAGGGTACTTAAAGAGCACACTGTATTTCACAAATGGTCTCCAGAATTCTTTAGACTTTCTGTCGATTACAGTGTATCTTACTGTGTTCTCATGACATGTTGTTTGAAGACGAAATTTGTCTTAGCTAAGAGTTTCACGAATTTCAGCGGGTTAGTTTCCCCTTTGCGAAATATCAAAATGAACCTTTTCATCGTGTCTTCCATTTTAACTGAAACAATGGAGAATGTCGTAGTAGCAATATACTGTGAGTGGCCATGGTGACAAATAAAGTCCCATTTCTAGTAGCTACAGGTACCTGTAAGTCAAGTACATACGTTATGGAGATCATTTGTGGAATGTATTTAGAACAATATCACAGAATCGACTTAACATTGTCGACTTTCCGATTTAGGCGGAGTAAGATGTTTCCAAATAATTCTGCATAAAAAGAAACTGTCGCAATATCTTTATTTCATCAAACAGTAATTGCCCTAAGTTAAGAAAGGATTAATCGAATAAAACTATTTATTAGTCTGGATTTATGCACGTATTACATGTATTATTGGAGTTTTTTCTTGGTTTTACAGCTCCGAGAAGTCGTACTACAAAGATACGCCCCTCCAAAAGGTTGTCGAACGCAGCGTGCTGCAGACAAGGAAGTAAATGCGCATTTAGAAAGGTGACAATCCAAACTTGTAGATTGAATTAGAGACAGGGATAGGGAGAAGCGATCTTAATGTATTTTGAAATACGGAAGTAGTTTTTACCTATTTAAAGTTTAGACGTCAGACGCTGTTTGCCATTCAATTTCTTTAGAAAATATGTTTTTTTTTACTATAGTTGATACTGATATAGTGATTAAAAACATGGAGCTTAACAAAATGAAAACGCGGCATTTGTGGCGCTATCTATTTACTAAAAGGGGTCGTCCAATTTTCTTTCGTTACAGGTGTCTGTTAAACTTCTGTCGAGAGAGCATTTGCAAACTTCCTGTGGAGAAACAACGAAGCAAAGACAAACATTTACCACTATATAACACTGTCTTTTATTCATGGATTACACCAACATTTATCAATTAACAGTTTCTATGTACTGATGCAATATATAAAATAGTGTCTGAATCCAGACTATAAGGATATTGTAACCCTTTATAATTATCAAGCTACCGAAAACGAGATTTTTCCTGCATCTAATTATTCAATAAAGCATCTACACGTATGTTTGTGTTGATTTACAACAATAAAAAATTGAAAATGTAAAATATTGCCTTTTATATTTCTCGTTGTAATGTACAGTATATGTATAGGAAACTCAAAGCTTTAATCGTCAGTTTAACGCTATTCTATTTTAAGGTGAGATAGCAGTCGGTATGCAGGGGCGGGTCCAGAGCTATTTACTGACAGTCTTCCAAATATCTTTGTTGATTCATCCTCAAATTTTGACCGTCTTCCAACAGAAAAAATTAGATACCCGTCAATGTGAACTTGAAAATCTGACCGTCTTCCGGAAGACCCAGAAGACGGCTTAAATCCGTCCCTGGGTATGGGGCGTAACTTCATCCATGAACAAGATTTTATCACGAAAATTGGCAGAGTTGATCACGAGTGTATGGACTACAATCCCGTGCCGTCCCTTGGGTTTAAATGTTTTAATTATGTAGTTATATGCCCCTAATTACAGAATTTCATTAAACAAAGGTATTATTTTGATTTATCAACGGTAAAAGCTTACTAAGGAAAATCGCTGGCAAAATCGCTGGGGTTTGGAATACTATATAGTGCCATCTACCTGAATGGAAGCCAAACTAAATTTCAGCATTAAAAAAAATTAAAGCATCTAGGAAGGCTCCGTGTCGGCTTCTCAAACAAGGCCTCGTGTACATCATGAGGTTCAATGTTGATATGTTGATGATAAGACCATGCATGCTCAGGGACTGGCGTGGCTCGGGATGAAATACATTTGTACGGCACCCGGGCTATCGCTTGTAATTGCAGATATAGCCTACACATACTAGTATACATGTACATTCAAACTGGTCCTCTCCGTGAGAAGGTAGAAAGTTTTCATATGATCTGAAGTCTTCCAACAAAGCCTCTGCGGCTCCATGGTAACTCCGCTATCGTGGACACAGATACTTGAACGCGGGTGCGAATTATAGTATGTTAAATGTATTTGTTTTTGTCTAGAAATAATTTCTAAAACTATGTTTGATTCGGTAGAGTGCACAGCTGCCAAAAAAACTCAAAGCCATCATAACCATGGTGACGGAAAGTCACCAGCTTGAATTCCGAATAACGCATGACTTTCCGTCACGACTACGACTTGGCCCCAGAATAGGGAAGTCGCAATCAAGGCGGAATTAAAAAGACCCGGTATAGTTTAGAATTAGCGTTCAATTTGACAACAACGCACTGCTGGTCATTATCATAAAATCTGCTTCGTCAATATCATCAGTGAGCCAAGTCTACGTGAAATAGTCTATATTACAGTCCTCATAATGAAGAAAGTTTCAAAATGCGAAAATAGAGTTCATGCATTTTACTTTAATGGACAGGGCAGTAATTTAGAACTGAAAAAGTATTCAATTAGAAATGGTAAAAAACTTCGAATACAAATGCAGGAACGGATTGCGCAATTGCTTGTGTGCATAAATATTATTATACATTAGGCGGAAGATCTTGGAAGGATACCAACAAATATTAAATAAATAAAATTAAAATAATAATAATAGTGAAAAGAGAACTTGGGCTGTTGGATGTTTACAGGTATTATATCATTTGAAAAGGTGGCATCCATAACTAAGAAGATTTTAATTGTTTATCGCACTCACGCCTCATTTACTTGCATGTACGTAGGCTCATTTGAGCTTATTTAATTTTTTATGTTTTTTTTTTTTTTTTTTTTTTTGGGGGGGGATTTTGGGGGGGGG